CTCCCTTACACAAATATTAGCAGAACCTCCACAAATACACTACCGAACACTGGGAGTCTCAAAACAATATCAAAGGTGCCTTGGTCAATTCAAAGTTTATAGATTTTTTTTAAACTATACAAGTACATTGCTACTCCGCCATTTTGAATGTGTACTGTAGAGTCCACCAAGATGCCCATCATGTATACCAAAGGGGACAAATGAATTGAATGTAATTACATTTTAAGATTCTTTTTTGGATAATGGTAGTTAATGTTTGAAAATGTGGAACCCAATTATGTCACTGTGCACTGTTTAGTTTCCAGCACTGAAATTCAAAACAGTTCAAGCGTTACCATACAATATGTTAACACACATTTACTTATATGTGCCTTTTAAGTTGAGTTGAATTCATTCGAACCAATATGGCAAACCTATTAATCTTTAGATCCATAAACATAGTGGAAACGTTTAGCAGCTGAATGAGGACACTTGTGTGCACTGCAGGCTGCTTTAGCTTCTTTGACTTAGCGTTGATCTGCATAATGCCCCAGCCGGTTTAACGGTAGGGTTGGACACCTGAGTGAGAGCCAGCCGTTACTGTGAGTCTGGGCTTGCCTCAAACAACCTGCTGCCACTTGTCACTCCAACACCCTCTGGCATTTTCTCACAGCTCCTGAAGCCGAGTCCTCAACCTGTTGCCGCTAAGTTTGCACTGAGCCCTTTTTCGAAACTCTCTCACCGAGTAAACTTACATTGGCAAAATGTATCAGCTCTGAAATGCTTAGATAAGTCACGCCCTTTCAAAAACACACACCTTCACAAATGTAGCACAACTTTACTATCGTATTAATATGTGCATCTTTTAAAAACATGTGACGTGTGTTTGTGGGCTCCCTGCACATCAGGACTATAATCCCCCCTGAAACCATCTCTCCTCAGATTCTTAGTTGAAATTCCACCCTGCCCCCCTTTGTGTGGAACCCAATCTCCATAGCCAGGCCAAAGAGGCTTTAATCATCCTACCTTGGATCAAATAGAGGCATTATAGTCCTAACGGCAGTTTTGGCCCTTAAACACTGCCTCCATTCATTTCTGAAACAATCTGATTCCCTCTCTACCTCTCTTGCCCCCTCTCACTATTCCCTCTTTTTGCAACAGTGTGTCAATAGGAATCACTTGGCGTAGTGTTTGCCATTTCCCCAACATCTTCCTCTCCCTCACTGCTGCGGAAAACTATCGATAAACCGAGCGGGACCCCCGGACTGCAAAGTGCACATCTCTCTCCAAAGACCACTTCCAGGAGAAGACTGCAACCCTCAACCTGCAAGGACTGACATCACTGAAGGTCAGATTCATCTTCTGTTCATGCACGCTCATATAAGTTATTTCTTTGAGACTGGACAAATAGGGGTCATTATATTTGCACAAAATCTAGTTTTTGAATCTTTTCCTGGGTGTGTCCATTGGCTTTGACCCTGTTTTAACCAGTGTGCGCAGTTCAGATGTACTTGAATGTTATATTTTTTCAATGAACAGGGTTCTGGGTAGTGGGACTAAATGCATTCTGTAGATTAAAGCTTATCAAAGTAAGTAATTTATTCAGGACAAGGTATACCATTTTTTTGACAATATGATTTGTTCCTGTTCATGAAGGTAAAAAGTAACAAAATAGTTGCAGTGAAGGTCATGAATTTGGGTTCAACTAATCGAATTTGAAATATTGTGTACCTAGCATTCTATTCTCAGACTAAGATATGGTGAAGTGAGTAGGAGATTAGTAGTTTTATGCACGTACCTTCACTCAGACATACATTTCCTCTCATATCATTTCAGTCTGTACGATTGGCCAACTGCAAAACTGCTGTACGTTTGTGTGTGTGTGTGTGTGTGTGTGTGTGTGTGTGTGTGTGTGTGTGTGTGTGTGTGTGTGTGTGTGTGTGTGTGTGTGTGTGTGTGTGTGTGTGTGTGTGTGTGTGTGTGTGTGTGTTCCACCCTTGATTGGGAAACGGAGATGAAAGATATTACTCCGTCACTGTCTTGACATCAGAGCTTTGAAAGCACACATTAACTCCTTTGCAAACAAAAAGTCAATGTTTGATAGAACGGTGAAACTCTGGGGAAATCTTAGCTGTGTCATTTGTTGTAGATTAATTTGTTATACTTTCTTTTAATGATGTGCTCATATACAGCCTGAATAGGACTAACTGTCGATTTTTTTGCTTTTAATCATGCTTTAAAATTGTTTTAATGGATCAAGGATACATTTCAAGAACTACCAGGGTGAAAAAGTAAAGGAACCATCTTTAAAAAAAGCAATTCTTAAAACAGCCTATTTGTTGTTTTCAGTTTCTGATACCTCCATCCATAACAGAGAACCTGTAAAGAGAAAAACAGCATTAAGCTTCAATTGCAGATTGAAGGTGTGGCTGGTGCTTTTTTTTTGTCTGCTAAACCAAAACCTGTGAGTCACACGCGTTCCACCTGCGGCGATAACCTGACAGAGACAATTACTGACATGAGGACACATGTCCACGGCTGGGGGTGGGGGGTAGTCCTCACGTCACTGCTGACACAGCGTGTGTGTCAAGCCCCTCCCGGGTTAAGTGTATAAAAGACCCGCTCTAACCCTACCCAAACATTTACTCTTTGGGATCTCTCTCAAGCAAGACAGAAACACCTTTGGACCTTTTTTCTTTGGACGACTGCAGGAAACTTTTGAAGAGACATGGTGTCAGCGGGTTTGCAGATGCTGGGCACTGCCCTCTGCATTATTGGATGGATTGGGTGCATTGTGGTCTGCGCCCTTCCTCAGTGGAAAGTGACAGCCTTCATCGGCCAGAACATCGTGACGGCTCAGACCACCTGGGAGGGCATCTGGATGACCTGCGTGGTGCAGAGTACGGGTCAGATGCAGTGCAAGGTGTATGACTCCATGCTGAATCTATCCTCAGACCTGCAGGCGGCCCGCGCCCTCATGATCCTCTCCATCTTGGTCGGCGTCTTCGGCCTCCTCCTCGCCATCGGTGGGGGGAAATGCACCAACTGCGTGGAGGACGAGAGCACCAAAGCTAAGATTGGCGTGGCATCCGGGGTGATGTTCATCATCACTGGGGTCATGTGCCTCATCCCTGTGTGCTGGACGGCCAACACCATCATACAGAATTTCTATGACCCCCTCGCCATGTCCTCTCAGAAAAGGGAGATGGGAGCTGCACTCTTCATCGGCTGGGGGTCCGCAGGCCTTCTCATCGTGGGTGGGGCTCTCCTCTGTGCCAACTGCCCTCCCAAGGATACCTACTCTGCAAAGTACTCCGCTCCCCGTTCAAACCCACCCAAGGACTACGTCTGAGGAGAGAAACAGAATGATAGAACTGAACAAAGACTTGGGTCGAATGCTCTGTGGCGCCTGAGATTGCCACAATGAGTATGATTTGAATTTCACGGTGATTTCTATAGGGCTCACTGTTTAGTTGTTATTTTCATGTTGAGATACAGCACTTCAAGATGTGTTACTTCAGTGCCAAGGCGATGTGGACCACACCCAAACATAATCCCAGGGTGGGAAATATACATATAGAAATTGGATAAACTTTTAACTTGATTAATCTGTGCCTTTTTTTTACATATTATTTCATTTCAAAATGTGTATTATACAATATGTGAATGTCTGAAACTGTAAATAAAGATTTTTTTGTATCAACATTGAATTATCTTGTTGTGGTTGTTCTTTCTTTTTTTCGTAACATGCCATTAAAGCACCTTCATCAAGCTGTGACATGAGAGATGAGGACTCTGCTCTACATGGTGAATAATTCTTAGTAATTTATAACTAAAACAAGGCTAAATGTTTTATAAATGTAGGACATAATTATACATACTATCAAGATTACAAAAATATATCCTAAATTACTCCTAATTCACACAAAACACATTTTTAAATCAGTTTTTCAGTGTTCATAAGTGTGAATATACCTAGACCAGAGATTATATTAATAATTTATTTATAATAAAAAATAACCGAATGCATTTATTAAGGGCAAGATAAAAGTTTGAACAATCTGATGTGTCTCTGTTTGTGACATCGACAAATAAAGACATGTCATTTTCACAGTGGGTCTTATTCAATACTGTGCACTTATTTACCACATTCCATATCCAAGAAATAATGATTGAGCAACTATGACCAAATATGTGTAAAAAGACAATAGGTTTACCTCAGAGTGAATGGGGGAACAAACTGTCAATGTTTGAATAAGTCTCTTAAACGCTAGAAAATGATTCGCTTTTCTCTAAAAGTCAACAAAGACTATGAGCTCTTTTACAGCCTGAAAAGTATCATTCTTAGATCTATGAGACACAATCTGTTCTCCACAGTTCCTTGAAAGCTTACATTTATGTAACAAGCAACACAATGTTCTTTAGTTTAGCAATAGCATCAGCAATGTGTTAAAATATGTACCTTATATTTGTATCGACCTCACAATTAATGAGATGAATGTTGTTTGTTTTTACACAGGAAACTTCCATTGCCCAATATCTAAATCCTTACCTGTCCAACACTGCCCCTTGCTGTAAACAGAATAACACATCCTGTATTTATTCTTACAGACCTGAAACTTTAACCCATAATACGGCAGGTGTTCAAGTTAGATCATAACTACATTTGTGTCAACACACCCAGTTATTCAACAATCTCTGGGAAAAGAGGGTTACTTACTTTTGTGTTATATTATTGTCATAGAAGATTTATAATTGAAATTTTAAATTAATTTGTAAATGTACCTGGCCAAATGTTTTACTTTGAAATCCCAGTTATTTGGAAAATAAAGAGTTGACAACAAAGTTTTTTTCTGTTTGTATCTGACCTTGAACGTATGGTTTGAGCAGGTCAGCACTCTTAAAGGTCACTGAATCTTTGTTTGTGTGTAAACTCCTTCTACCCAATAGGAGCCCAGGACTCACATACCCTCATGTGTGTGTCCCTTCTTCTCACACAACAACCTATAAATACAAGCTAACATCACTCCACCTGTCTTCCTTTTTGGATTTTATCGTGTGAGGAACAGAGCCGGCAACATGGTTTCTCAGGGGATTCAGATGATCGGTATATCCATGGCCCTGATTGGTTGGTTCATGGTGATCGTGGTGTGTGCCATGCCCATGTGGAAGGTCACTGCTTTCGTGGGGGCCAACATCATCACGGCTCAGACGGTGTGGCAGGGCATGTGGATGAACTGCGTGGTGCAGAGCACGGGCCAGATGCAGTGCAAGGTGTACGACTCCATGCTAGCCCTGCCCCAGGACCTGCAGGCGGCCCGCGCCATGATCATCATCTCTATCCTGACCGGGGTCTTCGGGGTGATCCTGTCCATCGCCGGGGGGAAGTGCACCAACTGCATCGAGGAGGAGCGATCCAAATCCAAGGCTTGCATCCTGGCTGGAATTCTGTTCATCGTGTCGGGGTTTCTCGTCATCATCCCCGTGTCCTGGTCCGCTCACACCATCATCACCAACTTCTACAACCCGCTGCTGATCGAGTCCCAGAGGTACGAGTTGGGAGCGGCGCTGTATATCGGCTGGGCGGCTGCTTCACTGCTGCTGATGGGAGGGGGCCTGCTCTGTTGGAACTGCCCCCCCAAACAAGAAAACCCTCACTACCAACAAAGATTCACCCCTGTGAAGAGCACCAGCACATCCAGAGAATACGTCTGAGAGGGTTAGCCCTTCCTACACGGACTGTTGGGGTCACAGGAAATGAAACACAGAATACGATAGGATGATGCTTTACTGTCAGGTCACGTCTGATGTCTTTCTTGCATCACATTAGCTCCATTTACAACATCAACAAGGACAGATTTTAAGAAACAAACAGACATTCAACAAAACATTCAATCACAACATGTTCAAGACCTTTAACGTACATTTGATCTGGATTTAAACTCCATATTTAATTATAGAATCGAGTGGTAAACTAAATAAGTGCCTCAATCTAACCCCTTAAATCAGAAGACTGAAGCATTTTTCTGTTCACCAGAAAAATGTAATCATAGTTTGCTCAAACTAAAACATATATTCACCGGTATTGTAAGTATAGCATAGATACAGCTCGAGCTGAATCCTGAGTTTGGTTTGTGGTTAGTGTCAAAGTGACCTTCCTCAGAGCGGACATTTTGTCTAGTCAAGCAAGTGTAACTAACAACATTAACAATGACTTCCTCACAGGGAGTTGTGCCAGCGGGGCCCTGGGCCTCTCTGTCACCTAGGAGATGGAAGGCAGCCATCTTTAATGTGAGCAAAGCGCTTTCCTATAATGAGTGAACATGATTTCTTTGACCAGAATTCTGTCTATTTAAACAACAAAACAAGACAAAATAATATGAAAGAGCCTTTAAAAATGTTAATCCACAATGTATTGTGGCAGGTCGATAAGTAAAATATGAATTCCGATTCAATCAAATCTGTGTAAATATTTAGTCAGATTGTATTAATAGTGAATTAAAAATGCAATCATCTTTATTCTATTGAAATGGTAACATCTGAACAGATATAGGAAGAAAAAGTACAGCTTCCTTTTTCTTAAGCAGGGTCTGTATTGATTGGCCTGTCTTGATAACACAGGGATGTCAGTAACACGTAAACAATGTAGGAAAATGAATGCATTTTTCTTTCATTTTCACACTGCTGAACAATTTTATATCTCTATTTCTGTGTTTCTGAATCTTGTAATGTTCTGTAAATAAACTCTATACTCACTGTATGATTACTGTTTACTTCTGAGACACTCAAGCATTTAGTTGTATTATAGAGATTAAAGGAAAAGGAAGAGGTAATAAAATCAACATCACAGTAGGCTGAGGAAATGATTATGGAGCAATGCGATTCAGGAGGAGGTTACTGCTGAGTTGTAGTTTCTGGAAAAAACTGGAAAAAAGACAAATCACCATATTAAACCATTTATGTTTTTGTTGTTTTGGGATCATTTACAAAAGGAAAAGGAGATTTACACAGACAGATATACATTCAGACCAGTCAGTATAAGCATCAATCCAATCTATTATATGTTTTCAGACAATACGGGTTAGAAAGAAACTCACAATCATTACCAAAAGTACAAGGTAAAGTAGGTTTATTCAGAAGTGAGTTTACACTCACAGTACATTGACACCATTTGTGAGTTTTGTTTTACTTATAGCACTGTGTGTTATCCAAATGTAATATTAAGTGTTGCTGCACACATCAGCAAAACAAACAAACAGACAGTGTGTGCAGTTTCACCTGACTGGATAAGGTGTGAGAGTGTCATCACTTTGTTTAGAGGTATCTGTCATAGGATGTGTTTTTTTCAAAGTAAAGTGATTGTATCAGCTGACAGTGCTAGCTTCCTGTGACTCATCACTCCATCAAGTGATCGTTATCTGAAACGGATCCCTCCTCCTCAGGTCGGGGCAGACTGCCATATATCATATATCAGACATACAAGCAACTGATGCTGTCTGTGCAACTCAAACATATATCATATTTTGGTCTGTGCATCAAGCACTGTAAAAAATGTCTAATTTCTAGTCAGAATAAGTCTTTACAATTGATGTAAGACATAATAACTTAAGAGTTACAATGCAGTGAGATATAGGCAGAGGTGTAAAGTAACTAAGTACATTTACTCAACTATTGTACTTACAATTTTGAGGTACTTGTACTTGAATATTTCCATTGTATGCTACTTTGTACTTCTACCCCATTATAATTCAGTATAAATTGTGTATTCTCCACTACATTAATACTTTTAGTTACTTTACAGATGTTGTGAAATATAATCAAGTGTTAAATCAGACTTTAGTTCCACCTGGAGTAAATCCACAAGCTACCCTGCAGTATACAAAGTCATTCAAACTAGCTGCACCTTTACCAGCTTTGAGAACACTTTCATGATCAACCATTATAAAACATATCATATATATTATTCTGAAATGGACCAATCTGCACAATCACTACTTTTACTTTTGGTATTTTTGGTATATTTTGATGCTGATACTTTTGTACTTTTACTTGAGTAACATTTTGATTGCAGGACTTTTACTGTAACAGAGTATTCCTACACTACAAGTTTACTCAAGTACACAATCTGAGTACTTCTCCCACCTCTGGATATAGGGTCTTGTATTTAGACAATGCATCTTAAGTATCTTTTTAAGTCAAATACTCTTGAAAATATATTTTTGAGTTGTATCTCAGATGAAACATGTCTCAGATATGTAACGTCTCACAAGGTTTTGAAGCTGCTTTCTTGTTTCAAGAAATACATATAACTTGATATGAGAAAATACATTTTTATGGAAAATCACCAACAAACATCAGAAAACAGAAGACTTATGGACATGTCTGGCTTATTTTGTAACACAACATTTCCTGATCCTGGTCAATACAGTCCGAAATAAGTGTTCCCAGCTAATTACAAGATCTTATCTTATTTATCTAAATATCCCATCTAATTTCAAGGAACCCAAGCAATTTTCACTTATTCTATTGGAAGATTTATTTAACTTATTACAAGCAAAGACACCTTGCTTTTATTATTCTTTTACTTGATTTTGGAGCAGAATTGTTTTCAGTATGATACTAGCCATCCTTCTAAATAACTCTGTGTTTCTGCTCTGGTTCTGTATGTGATACTGTGGTTGATCGCTATAGTGATTCAACTTAGAAAACAAACTCAACCCATCTTGTAAAAGCAATTTGTAGAAGGTATAAAGAGCAGCTCACAATGTCCTTCCCTCCTTTTTCCTAACATTGTCTCAACAGAATTGTGTAAAAGTCTTTAAGAAGTGTTTTTTTAAATGATAAACACTAGAAACCTGCAAAGCCTTCCATATTTAAGTAAAACTGATCATATGACCTTTAAATTGAAGAGATAATGTCATTATCTCTTAGTTGCTGTCTTATCAGTTGTGTGATAAGGAGGCCGTCCTTTAGTGAACTGGTTTCAGGACCTTTGAAGTCTCTAAGTGGCTGTAAGTCCATCCAATAAAACCATCTTTACGGCAGTGGAATCTGCATATGAAAGTGTGTTTTTCAAACTACAACAGCTAGCATCGTTTGAAAAAAAGGGTGCCACTCCTCTAGCTCTAGGAAGAGGAATCTTGATTGACCAGAAGAACTCACCTGGTGACGAGAGCCCTCCTCCAGCGCATTCTCTGACAAACAACAAGCGAGAGAGTTGTGTCACTCGGGAAAAGGACCAGAGCTGTATGCTGTCTTCTCTGCTGCCGTAGACCAAGCCTTTTCACTATGGGCAGGATTGGCAAGGAAATTGCGGGTCAGATCATCAGCTTCATAGGCCTTGTTTTGGTAGCTGTGACGTGTGGGATCCCCATGTGGAGAGTGACCTCCTACATCGGAGCCAACATTGTGACGGGGCAGACCATCTGGGACGGCTTGTGGATGAACTGTGTGATGCAGAGTACCGGGCAGATGCAGTGCAAGCTGAACGACTCTGTGATGAAGCTCTCCGCAGATCTGCAGGCCGCCCGGGCCCTGGTCATCATCTCCCTCATCGTGGGCTTCATCGGCTTCATCATCACCTTCGTTGGAGCTAAGTGCACTGGCTGCCTGAAGAAAGATTCATCCCAGGCCAAGGTGGTGATCATGAGCGGCTGTCTCTTCATCGTGTCCGCCGTCCTGGTCCTGATTCCCGTCTGTTGGTCGGCAGCCATCACCATCACAGACTTTCAGAGCGTCTTGACCATCGAGACCCAGAAGAGGGAGCTTGGAGCCTCCATCTACATCGGGTGGGCCGCTGCTGCACTTCTTCTGCTCGGAGGGATCATCCTAACCACTTCCTGCCCTCCACAGAAACCCATGTATGGATACCCAGGCTACCCACCGGCACAAATGTACCCTTATGCAGGCCCAGCAAACTATGGTCCTGTGTATGCCCCCCCCCTCCAGCCAGCCCTACACGGCCCCCGGGTCGTACGCACCGACCAAACCCTATGGAGCTCCAACCGCATACTCTGCTAGACAATACCTCTGAAATGAAAGAACAGAAACACGATAAAGACTGAGATATCTGCCAGGATGACTTCAGAAACTTGTTGAATCTAACATGATATGATTTGGATTGTTTTTATGCTCTATGGTAGAAATGTTCCTAGTTTATGAAGTCTTGATATTAGAGAAATATTGTGTCAACATGAATGTGTTCATAAGGAAGTCCCTGCTGATACTGTATTTATTTTTCTTGTCATTAAAAGCACATTTTGTAAATAGTGATGATTTGTAATGTTTGTTTTCTGTAAATGCCACTTAATCTTTGAGTATTTGAATGATTTTGAATAAAATGTTTTGATATATTCATTTATCTGTTTGTGGAGTCATTATAACAACACCTTTTTATTATTTTAAAGCAATTTTATGAATATTATCTAATTTTATAAGGTCAGAGGCCTTCTGTGTATGGGTGACTGAGAGACGAAAATGATAAATTAATAGACAAAAAATGTCCCTCTTCAAATCTATAGCAAAGGATTTTTTATAACCATTTTTTTTTTTTTAACTGTTTATTTTCATTTGAACAAAACAAGACATATCCTGACATAGGTCGTTTTCATTCAAATGACAGATGGTTACAAAGTATAGTAAATAATTAAATAAAGCAAATCCAGTATAAATTGAAATAATTAAGATACACAGGGACATTTTCCATAGTATTCATCTAAAGTTCGGTTCAGTTTCAACAACCCTCTTCAACCAGCGATACATCCAGATATCTTTTAACACAGTTCCATCTTTGGGTAAAAGAGTCCTAAAACAACCTTTTTTATTTCATTTGAATCCCTTTGCAACCTCGCTTCACACTGTGAATACATTGATACAACATCAGAATACTACCCCTGAAATAAACAAAGACACAAAATACACTTATAAATAAAATCCCAATACAAAAGGAAAGACTTCTTTGTAGTGACTTATGCAATCAACTGTGTCTTTGATCAACATGCGAGCTTCTGATTTGAAAAATCGAAATCAATTCCTAGAAAAATATAAAGTTTAATCTCATGAGATGACCTAAATAGAGGTCATGAATAATAAAAAACATAAATGGAGGCTCCTTCCGTTAACATTGGACATCCGGTGATACTCCCTCCCATATAGGGTTTATTTTTAAACGTGAATCAAGTGACTGGACCTGATCTTCCGGTAACGTGCCCAATCAAAGGCTGGCCACTGGCACACCAGTGTTCCGGAATGTGTTGCTCTTTGCTTCCTCATTTACATAGTCGTATAAGGCTGATGTTCATCTCGTCGAAACTACTCCCGGGTCCCTGTGTGGATAATGTGAAGAATCTGGTTGGGTGGGTAAATCACTCTGCACACTGGTTTCAGGTCAGAAGGAAGGACATTCTGACTCCACCTTCAACAAGGACGTCCTTATAAAGCAAGAAAAGGTTCAGCCGTCTTTATTCGACTTTACAACTTGAACTGAACTGACCTGCTCCTGAAAACTACAACGCTTCTGTTCAAGTGACTCTATCAAGACCTCATCATGGTGTCAATGGGACGACAGATGCTGGGCTTTGCCCTGGGCATCATCGGCTTCCTGGGGACCATCATTGTGTGCGCTCTGCCCATGTGGAAGGTCACGGCCTTCATCGGAGCCAACATTGTGACGGCGCAGGTCATCTGGGAGGGTTTATGGATGAACTGTGTGACGCAGAGTACCGGTCAGATGCAGTGCAAGATCTACGACTCCCTGCTGGC